GGTTTCACCATGTTGACCAGGATGGTCTCGATCTCTTGACCTTGTGATCCACCCGCCTCGGCCTCCCAAAGTGCTGGGATTACAGGCTTGAGCCACCGCGCCCGGCCAAGCCTGAACGTTTCATGCCAATGCTCTATAAGGAACAGATGGATTTTACCCAGATAGCACAGTGCAAAACAGTGGTAACCCTATTTGAGATGTCTATCAGGAAATATAGGAAAGTTTTGACTTTCTTCCCCAAAAGCAGAGCATAAGATAAAGACTTGCATACAGGTAATATCCTTGAGAAGAGATCCTAGGAAGCAGTAGCAAGTGACCAGGAGAATAAATTAAGGAAACAGGGAAAATCAATACAATGATATGTTACCAAGCAGGCCACTAAGGATACTTATGCATGATATTGACAGGACATTCTAATAGCTTTATACAGTATGTAACGGAATAACTGTACAATTATTGCTCTACAGGGGCCTAACTTTTCTTATACTTTCAGTTGGCTATGCATGAATACAAGCACAGAAGCATAAAATAAGAAGCATACAGTACATGCCAGGAATATGTACAGGTTACACCTACATAATGCTGCTAACAGCCTATGCACAACTGGACACTACAGCTGTTGTTACAATAAGAGATGAAGCCAACGGGCCGGGTGTGGTGGCTCACACCTGTAATCCCAGCACTTTGGGAGGCCGAGGTGGGCAGATCATGAGGTCAGGAGATCAAGACCATCCTGGCCAACATGGTTAAACCCTGTCTCTACTAAAAATAGAAAAATTAGCTGGGTGCAGTGGTGTGTACCTGTAGTACCAGCTACTCGGGAGGCTGAGGCAGGAGAATCGCTTGAACATGGAAGGTGGTGATTGCAGTGAGCCAAGATCGCACCACTGCACTCCAGCCTGGCGACAGAGCGAGACTCCATCTCAAAAAACAAAAACAAAAAAGGGATGAAGCCAAGATGACATGAAGTGGTCATCTGATGCACCAATCTTTTCAAACTGGTTATGAGCTAAGGTGAATGAACTAAGGTGAATATATCTCTCTGACTACTGTCACCCATATACTGCCAAGAAAGTTAGGATCAAAGTAAGTACCTCTGAAGTTGCAAGACACATGTGCAGGATATGCAGATTTGTTAAACAGGTAAATTGGTGCCATGGCTACACAGGTAAACGTGTGCACACCTATCAAACCATCACCTAGGTATTAAGCCCAGCATGTATTACCTACTTTTCCTGACGCTTGCCCTCCCTTAAACCCTGCCCCCCAAAATATCTTGAGACTACATAATTTCCAGGGAGACAGAAGAGAGTTGTATTCTCCTCTCTTTTTTTTTTTTTGAGACAGGGCTTTCCTCTTGTCATCCACACTACAGTGCAGTGGCACAATCTCAGCTCACTGCAACCTCTACCTCCCAGGTACAAGTGACTATCCTTTCTCAGCCTCTCGAGTAGCTGGGATTACAGGCATATGCCACCACATCCAGCTAATTTTTATATTTTCAGTAGAGAGGGGGGGTCTCACCATGTTGGTCAGGCTGCTCTTGAACTCCTGACCTCAGGTGACTGGCCTACCTCAGTATCCCAAAGAGCTGGGATTACTGGCATGAGTCACCACGTCTGGCCTCAAGTCTATTATTTATATAGGTTTGATCACACAGTACTCTAATAAACTGGCCAGATGCCCTCCTACTAGAGAAAAAAGAAAAATAAGCATTATTTGATATTCAAATGACACTGTTATAACATCATAAGCCAGGAATCATTTTAATAGACTACTAGTCCTGCTATTTAATTATCAGGGTTGGGGACTGGGCACAGTGGCTAACACCTGTAATCCCAGCACTTTGAGAGGCCAAGGCACATGGATCACCTGAGGTCAGGGATTTAAGACCAGCCTGACCAGCATGGTAAAGCCTAATGTCTATTAAAAATACAAAATTAGCCAGGCATGGTGGCACATGCCTGTAATCCCAGCTACTTGGGAGGCTGAGGCAGGATAATCACTTGAACCCGGGCAGCAGAGGTTGCAGTGAGCCAAGATCATGCCATTGCACTCCAGCTTGGGCAACAAGAATGAAATACCATCTCAAAAAAAAAAAAAAAAAAAATTAAGTTATCTGGGGAAGTAAGAACACAAAATTTTAATTGTTTATTATATTTAGTTTATACTTACTCTATTTTAGTTTGAGGAATATTTTCTTACTTATAATTTACAGTTAATTGTTTATGGCCTGTTTCTCTATTCTGTGAGGTATCTGATACCCCTTCAATAGCTTTTGTTTATGTTACCACAGGTGATTACCATGGCATGCAAAAAGAACTCTAATACATCAACATTTATTAAGCATTTTCCTATTTGTTCATTACTTTTTTTTTTAAGACGGAGTCTGTTCTGTTGCCCAGGCTGAAGTGCAGTGACACGACATTGGCACTACAACCTCCACCTTCTGGGTTCAAGCAATTCTCCTACCTCAGTCTCCCGAGTAGCTGGGATTACAGGCATGTACCACTGCATCCAGCTACGTTTTGTATTTTTAGTAGATATGAGGGTTTGCCATGTTAGCCAGGCTGGTCTCGAACTCCTGATCTCAGGTGATCTGCCCGCCTTGGCCTCCCAAAGTGCTAGAATTACAGGTGTGAGCCACTATTCCCAGCCATTCTGGTTTTGGTTTATCTCCCCCTCGTAGAATAAAAACTTAAACAAAGAAGGGATTCTGTCTTGTTCATTGTAACATCCCTAGCACCTGGATTACTATCTGGCACATATCAGGCACTCAAAAAATATTTGTTCCAAATGCTTCATAGAGAGTATATCATTTAATCCATATAACCTAGGATTCTGTTAAGTCTTCTGTTTACAAGTGGGAAAAACTAAAGCAAGTTATTCCAGAATAAGTAAACCGCCATTATAAAAGAGCAATGGTATAGCAACAACAGATACAGCAGGACCCCACAAGCACAGTCTTTACCACCCATGCATCCTGTCAGGGAACCTAGAAGCCAAAATAAAAGCTGCACAAGATAAAATGTCTCTATTCCAGCTTTTGTTAGGCAGCAAGTTTCTGTTAAGGTTTTATATCTTTGGCAATCAGGAACTGACAATTTTACTGTACAATTTAGAAATGTTATGGCAGTAAAGTTTTATCAAATGCAAATTCAGTTAAAATGTGTGTGGTTTCTAACTGATAATCCATAATACCTGAAGTGCTATAGCCGGCATAAGAAATGGAACTGACATGAAAACACCGATCACTGCACCCCTTCCAATTCAAGAAGTGTTAGGTCAAAGGAAAAAAACTACGCTGAACGAAAACAGTCTACCAACACGAGAATGTTGAATGGTCAAAAGAGGATTTAGGGGAAAACTATCAGTAGAATTCATCCACTGTTATATAGCTATCACTGATCAGCAGAGCTCTGATGCTAATAAGACAGTCAAGCTAAGGGCAAGGTGGCCAAGGCACAATTCCCTGGCTTCTATGAGCCAAAGTGGTTAGAGTGAT